CTGAGGCCATCTGGTCCAGCCCTTGGTTCTCCAGATAGGGAAACTGAGGCTGGGCATGGCCAGGCTTCGCCCTGCTGGCCCCATGACTCCTCCAGAGGGACTGGTGACTACATGCCCCCGGCCTCGATTTCCAGTTTGTGCTTTGGGGTGCAGGATGCGCTGGCTGAGGGTCCTGGAATCCCTTCTGCCCTGACTCCCCCCACGGAACATTGATCTTGAGGCCAGTTCAGACTATGACGTGGCCACGGGACACTCCCCGGGGGGTGATAGACCCCCTGGCCTGATGCCTGGACAATTCTCCACCTCCCCACCGCAGGTCGGCCCTCCAGTGCTCGGGGCCGCTCCTAGGGCATGGCCGGGATCTTTGCTCTGCCTGGGTCTCTCTGACTGCCTTCCTCCTCCACACCGCTGGGGGCTGGAGCCCACCGCCCAGGCCACGGGTGCAGAACAGTCTGGAATGTACCCCTTTGAGGCATATCAACATCTCTATGTGGCGGGTGCTATTCTTATGCCCACACACCCATTTTACAGATGAGGAAACTGAGGCTGGTCCGGGCCTCTAGCACCACAAGTGCACCTCGCTTAGTCCAGGGGTCAGGAAAGTCTGCCCCAGGGGGTCTAGTGCCTATGCCTTGCCAGGAGGGCCTGTCTGGAGCTGTACTGTCCAGGGCAGGGGACAGAGGTGGCCTGATTCCGTCTGTCCACTGGGTCATTGGACGCTCTCTGTTTTCCAGAGCCATCTGTGGAACTGCCCATCCCCCTTCCAGGTGACCAGTGATGTCCACTTCACACACAGGGCACTCCTGGTCATCTCCCTCCCTCCCAGCCCGACCTCTGCCCTCCAACATGGGTGGCCTGTTGGCCTCTCCCCAGAATTTACCATCACCCTAACGTGGGCGTCCCCTTCAACACAGGCGCATCCAACTCAGCGCAGCCCAAACTGAGCTCAAGATCCATCTGCCCCTGAACTTGAGCTGGCGCACACAAAACACGAACAGGAAGGTTCACAGCAGCACAGCTCACAGAGGCTCAGGAGGTGGGTCTCTTGCTCTCTGCTCCTCGCCATTTCTGTCATGTGAGACCCCTGGGTCACTGTTGCCACCACTGAGACCCTCACCAGATGTGTTCCCCGGACTTTGGACTTCCTGGTCTCAGAAACTATAAGCAATAAATTTTGTTTTCTTTATAAATCACCCAGTTTCGGGGGCCGGCCCGTGGCTCACTCGGGAGAGTGCGGTGCTGATAACACCAAGGCCACGGGTTCGGATCCCATATAGGGATGGCCGGTTGGCTCACTTGGGAGAGCGTGGTGCTGACAACACCAAGTCAAGGGTTAAGATCCCCTTACCGGTCATCTTTAAAAAAAATAAAAATAAAAATAAATCACCCAGTTTCAAGTATTTTGTTACAAGCAACAGAAATGGGCTAATACAATGGCCAAAAACTGCATAAGACCCAAGTGTCCACTCACTGATGAATGGACAAACAGCGTGGCCTGTCTGCACACTGGAATGTCACTCAGTCAGGGAAAGGAATGAGGCTCTGACACACGCTATCACGTGGAAGGACCTTGAACACGTCATGTATAGTGACAGACGCCAGACACAAAAGGCCACACAGTGTGTGACTCCATTTATATGAAATGTCCAGAACAGGCCAGTCCACAGAGACAGAAAGTGGGTTCGTGGTTGCCAGGGGGCTGGGGGAGGGGGTGGGAGTGACAGTTGATGGGGACGGGTTTCCTTTTGGGGTGATGGAATGTTGTAGAATTACATAGAAGTGATGGCTGCACGACTCTGTGAATGTACTAAAAGCCACTGCGTTGTAGCCTTTACATGGGTGTGGTAAATGGCACATGAATAAAGCTGTCATCTAAAAAAGTGAGAAGCCACGTGGGCTCCCCGATTGCCTTTGGGGCTCAGTCCCCCAAGGTGGCTGGGCGTCTTCCCCACAAGGGCTCGCGCTCAGCGCTCCTGCCCACGCCCCCAGGCTCCTGGGGCCTGACCCTGGGTCTCTCGGCCTGAGGGCTGCTCTCCGGTCTCTTGCCCCCTCCAGGCCCCGCGTTGGCGACGCCATTGGTTTCTTCACCTCGTGGCCTGGTCCTGCTCCACGATACCTGCTCGTAACCTCACCTGGCTGCTCTCAGACCCCGCTGGTTGGAGCCGGAAACCGAGGCACAGGGCGCTCACATGGGGCTGCGATCGCAGCCCAGCTGACGTCCTGAGACACTGGGTCTCCTGAACCTCCTTCAGCTCCCGCCTCCAGGAAGCCCTCTGTGATCCGACCCCAACCCCAGGGTCTGAAGTCAGCCCTTGGCCATCCAGCTCCTCTTGTCTGTCCCCAGCCCCAGCACACAGGCTCGTACCCAGCGAGAACTTCATTATGGCCGGGAGGGTGGACCCCAGAGAAGGCGGGGCTGGCCCTGGGGAAAAGATTTGGATCATTGGGGCTTGTGAGGTCACATGGTCAATAGGTGGCCGCAACAATGTCCCCCGCCCTCTTCCACAAGGAGGCGGTGCCCCTTCCCCTGCCACTGAGCCGGGTAGGCCTCAGGCGGGGTCACAGGACGTGGCAGAGGTGGCACCGCCCGAGGCAGGTGAGCCCAGTAGCTCCCACTTTGGTCCCACAGTTGCTTGCTGTGCAGAGCCGCTCCGGAGCCGGTGCCACGTCGTGAGGCCGCGCTGTCCCGACCCAGGAGTCCCCTGCCTTTTGCCTTCCCAGCTGAGGGTCCTGGAGGGGACACAGAATGACCCCATTGCACCACTGCCCAACTCCTGACCCGCAGCACCACGGGGAATGACACCGCCTTTTCACACACCAGGAAACCAGGACGTGGGCACACGTGGAGGGTTTTTATGACTTTTATTAAATCCTTACAAAACAATACAAAATTCCGGCTTTGACGGTTGGTGTGAAGGAAACTCTTGAGCTCTACCAGTTCACCTGGGATAACGGAGTTAAAGTGCTTGGCTGTTTTACCCCCACGTTAAAAAATTTGAGTTTTTTAAAAAAAACAATCCTCTCGCGGGTGCACGGCCGTCCCCACCAGCGCCGGGAGCTGGCCCGGGGCCCGGCTGCCCCAGGGTGGCGCACGCTTCACAGTAACGGTTCTGACCAGGCTCCAGGTCCCAGCGGTGACGCCATGGGGCGAGGGGGAGGGGAAAGAGGGAGGGACTGTCCCACCTTCGAGAAAGGAAAAAAACAAAGCTGCTCTGCTTTCCAGATAAAAGGGCCATTGGCTCTTGCAGCGGGCAAAGGTCCATTTGTTCGTTCTTTCATACAAAAAAGGCAAAAAATCCCCAGTTGCAAAACGGAGAATCACTGATGGGTGAGAAATGATGGGGGGTCTTTGGAAAGGCCAGTCCACAGATGCAGGCGGGCGGAGGACGGGGGAGGGCATGTCACTCCCACCGGCCACCAGAGATCGTGACAATCAGATGAGACGGGGTGGGGAAAGGGAGCTAGGCCGACGGTGTCTGAGCCCCCCACCCACGAGGCCCCACCCACATTCAAGTATTCTTCAAAATCGGAGAAGTCAACTGATGTTTTTTTGAAAGAAACTAAACACGACAAGCAATCCCAACCATAGATTTCGAGGCCAGGGGCTGCCCCAGCCCAGTCACGGGAGACACCTGAGCAGACCCTGGGACTGGGCCATCCCGGCGAGTGTGCAGGGGACCTGGCCAGAAGGGGTGGAAGACAACACCCCAGCGGCCACCCCGACCAGCAGAGCCACATGTATTGCATAGTATTTCACCCCGAGGGGGCCGCAGCCTCTCCCAGCCCCCGCAGGCAGGTTGACCTGGGCACTGGGTCGGAGCACAGGGGAGAGGCCTCCCCGGCCATTCCTGGGAGCCCACAGGGAGGCCAAGTCCTGGCAGCTGTGGCCGTTTTCCTGAAGATGGGGAGGCCAAAAACACTGCCCTTGGGGGCACGGAGTGTGCAGTGGGACCCCCTGGGTCTGACCCCAGCCCTGGGAATGGGGAGGAGACTGACAGCTTCCATGCCAGACCCAAGGGGTGACATGGGGCAGGACATGGCTATGGTCAGACTGAGCCCTGAGAAGGGGCACTCGAGTGCCCTGGGGGGTGTCTTCGGGACCCCCACATTGGCTGACGGGCGCCTGTCCAGCCCCTCCCACGCACCTTGGTGGAAACAGCTGTGTGCAGGGCCAGGTGGCAAATGCCCGGCTCCTGCCTCAGTCCCTGGTGGGGTGGGGAGGGGGCAGTGGGTGTGTCCCCATGCCAGCTGCAGTTTAAGGTCAAAGCCAGAGACCCAGTCTGGCCATCAGGGGTCTGGACAGACAGGCCTCAGAGGAAGCCCCGATTGTCAACTCTCACGGGGACATAGCGGACAGCTGTGGGTGGAGAACAGATGTGGGTAGGGGTAACTGGTGGGTGGGCCGCCATCCACCCTGCCTGTCCGCACCTCCCTCCGGAGACAGGGAGCCCCGGCCCCGACCAAGCCATCAGGGGCGCTCTCGGGGTGAGGGTCAAAGAAGCCACTGTTCCATTGACGGGAGGAGAGGCAGAGAACCTGTCCCTGAAAATACTGCGGGCTGGGGAAGGGGGACACGGGGCGGGGGTCCTGTGCCCCCTCCAGCTCTGGAAGACAGCAAACTGGCTGGAAGCCAACTCTCCTGAGTCACGAGCGCAAGCGATCCAGGGGGAGGAGGCGGCAGGCAGGTGACCTGGGGGTTGGGGGGACACGCGAGACCTTCACAGTGCAGGCCAGCATGGGGGGTGGGCACGGCACAGGGGGGCCAACCCAGCCAGGCGCACCCCCTGCTCTCCTCCCCAGGAGCTTGTTTTGCTTTTAACACCATTAAAAGGAAAAAAGCAGAGGGAGGAGAAGAAAAAAAATCCCACAAAAATAGGGGTGGGAGAGAAATAGGGAAAAAAAACCCAACAGCAAAAACCTTCTATTAAAAAAAACCACCCCCAGCCGAGCTTAATGCCTGGGAATCCAGCCAGAGGGGAGCGCAGCCCGCTGGCCACGGCTGGCAATAGCTTAAGAAAACTTTTAGATTTGATGGGGGAAGGGGCAACTTATGTACAGAGAGAGGGCGGGAGGAAGGGCGGGTCACGCGTGGTCTCCCACGAGGACCACGGGGGCCGCCGACAGGCTGGCTCTCTGCCGCCGCTGGGCCAGCTTGGACTCGGAGGGCGGGGACAGCTGCAGGCAGCGTGAGGTAGCTCGGATGACCACGGGTGGGCCCTGCCCTGCGGCCGCCTCCTCGGCCGCGTCCTCCTCGCGCTGGGCCAACTGCCGGTTCATGGCGATGGCCTCGGCCGCAAAGGATGTGAGGTCTTTGGCACAGCTGTTCCTGGGGATGGGGTGGGGGACGGTCACTGGGGCTGCACCCCTCCCTGCTTGCCTTGGGGGACCCCTGGGGTCTGCCCTGGTGGGAGGGGCTGCAGGACCCCTTCCCCATCCCACCCTTGGGACCTCCCAGGGCCCCAGGACCCCAGCTGGGAGCTCTCTCAGGTCACTAGTACAAGGACATCCAAGTATACGGATGGCTTTTCCCCACTAAACAATGTTCTTTGGGTATTATTTTATTTATTTACTTATTGGTGGCTGGCCGGTGAGGGGATCCGAACGCCTGACTCTGGTGTTAAAACACTGTGCTCTAACCAACTGAGCTAAGTGGCCAGTTCCGGGCTCATTAAAACATCTCGATACTTAACCCCCCTGCATGGGCCTCACCTCTGCAGGACCATGGGTGTGGGCAGGGTGTTCTCCGGGGCACACTGCAGAGAGACAGAAGAGGCCAGGGCTGGAGGGCGGACTGTCACACACCCTGAGGGGCCCCTACACTCTCTGATATCACCAAGGCTTAACAGGGTGCCTGGCCTCTGAAATACCTGAGCCCACCCCCCAGCCCCTCTCTCTTCTCAACCCACAGGTCTCCAATGCTCTGAGAGGGGTCTGGAGTCCCCCTGCCTGTGGAACTCCGAGGGACTCCAAATTCCATTTTCAGTAAAGCCCACTGCCCTGCTGGTCCCATCCCCCGGGGTGGTAGCTCAGCTCAGATGACCCCTGGCCAGGAGAAATGCCCCACTCATCCTGGATCCAAGGCCAAGCATGGGCAGGGCAGGGTGGAGACGGGACCCTGGACTTAGAGCAGGTTGCCAGGATCTACCCTGGCTGGGCTTGCCATGCCAGGTAGATTCCCTGAGCAACTGCTCCTGCCAGACCCCTGCATGGCCAACACATGCTGGCAGTAGGCAGGGGGATCTCAGCTGCACCCCTCCACTTGGGGCTGTGCCTTGACACAGAAAACCCCACTGGAAACTGGTGACTGACCCTCAGAGCCTAATACATCTTGGGGACTCCATGCTGGTCCCTTCCGGGTTCTCGTATTCTTGCTGTGAACCGCACCCACCCACTGGAGAAAGCTAGAGCTCAGGAGAGGTGGGTGGTCCTCTCCCTGCCCTCCCTGGGGCCCACGCTCACCCCCTGCACCCAGGGGTGCTGCAGGACTTGGGCGGCACTCAGCCTCTGCTTGGCGTCGCGGACGAGTAGCTTGGAGATGAGGTCTTTGGCGGCACAGGAGATGTGGGCCCAGTCCTTGTCGGGGAACTCGTACTTACCCTCCTGGATGCTCTCAAACAGCATGTTCTGGGGGGAGGACACACAGGGTCAGCTGCAGCGGGCAGGGCCAGCGCCCACTTCCCTGTCACCCAGGTGGGCAAAGCTGGACCATATGGAGGGGGCCTCGACGTGCCCAAGGACCTGACTTGCAGCTCCACTAGGGACCCCAGACCCACCAACGTGCAAGGATGCTGGACAGCCCATTGGGATGGAAAGAGGTCTGGAGGGGAGGACCCAAGGTCCTGAGAGCAGCTGACAGGGCCAGAGGCTGGGGAGAAAGGTGAGGGAGACAAGAGTCTGGAGGTGGCTGGGATGCCAGACCGGCAGAGCTGACTCTTGGGGGTTGGGCTTAATTTACAAAGAGGGCTGGGTGTGGGGTGATCTGACTCCAGGGCATCGAGTCGCAAATGCTAAGCTCTGAATCGCAGGCACAAGACCAAAGCTCGATCACCCCAAAACACAGACGTCGCCCAGCCTCTCAGCTCCCTGACCCTGTCTGCTTTCTCCCTTGGACCGAGAAACTCCAAGAGCTTTTGGGAACCACAGACAGATGGGCCAGCACTGCCCTGTAGTTGCCATCGATGACTGGCAGTCAGGGTTCAGGTCCCCGGGTGCACAGGGCTGGCCCCAAGAGAAAATGGGGCGCGCAGGGCCGGATCCGGGAAGGGAGGGGGCGCGCAGGGCCGG